TCCTACGATCACTCCAATTACTGTTTTAATACCTCTTCTGATTGATTTAATATCTTTCTCTAATACTATCTAAGTTCAAATAGATAATTCTATTATCTAGCTCACGCATTATGTAACTATCTATTTTTCTTTTCTAATTCTTATTCATATTTTAGAATTATAAATCATATAATAGTAATAAGTAATATATATACTAATAGTGATCGATATCAAAGTATTTATCACAATAGGGATTATTATTATTCCTTTCACTAAAATCTGAAAATGTGATTCAATCAATAAGGATATATTATTTTTCTACTATATAAGATATAAAGTCACATTTTTTACCTCTTAAGATTGGAATATAATATCTCTATTAATTTCATTAATAATAGTAGAGAATTTTAAATGAAGTGAAACAATAATTATGAAAATCACTGTATTTTTCTATAGTTTACGAAAAAATTAGTAATGATGATAAATTTCTTAAACAATGTATGGAAGAAATTACATTAAGACTTTCAAATTTAAAGATTATACAAAAGAGTACTAATAAAGCAACCTGTTGTATTTTTATTATATTTATCCTGAATGCATCAATAATAATTACTCAGAAACTTATCAATATGAAATAATATATATTGCATACTAAGATAATGTATCTGGCAAAGATTCTTCTGAGCATGTTAATTATTTAATCAAAAAATATAAGGATCTTATATGTATAGTAGAGAAAAAATCACATAATGTTGAAATTTGATACCTTTAAAATATAAAACAACTAAAGAACACGTCATATGAATAAAAAGAAGCAAATTGCTGATAAGCTTTTCAAAATGATGATGATTATCTCTATAGGATAATTTTTACAGGTATAACAAAGTTAATAGCACTTTATATTTTCCTGCTAAAAATTTTGTTATATATTTACTGATTAACTTTTTTTTTAGCTACGGAATGGCATTTTATTAAACTCACTATAGAAGGCCTATATTGTATCAGCAAAAGTGAATATCAGGTTAATTTATCCTAAATAGTATTAGAGAAAGATATTAAATCAATCAGAAGAGGTATTAAAACAGTAATTGGAGTGATCGTAGGATTATTAAGAAATAGAATTACAATATGCAATGAATATGAAATTCGAAGACGTTATATATCACAAAAAAATAACAAATAATAAATAATTTTTATATCTGTATTTTTATTCTGATATGTACCTGGCACTACATGTCTATATATTTTATTTGTAATAATAAAGCAAATTATTTTTTGTCCTGATATATTACTATTAGTGACATACATATATGTTCGTGAATTTTTTTAGCAAAGTAATAAATGAGTTTTTAAACAAATAAAAGAATTGAATGTGTCTGTATCTTAAATAAAAAACAATAGCAGATATATAATCTAGAATTGATTTGTTAAGTGAAAAAAATTTTAATCTTAAAAATGCAAATAATAATCTAATCAAAATTTCTAAATTTAAAGATGCAGACAATGATCTTCTAACCAGAATTGAGACATTAGAGAAATATTGAGTAGATTTTGCTATTGAAAGAACTGAACTTAAAGCTAAAATTATGAATTAGAATAGAATGTAAAAGTAATTAAAAAAGAATTAAGATTTAAGAAAAATGATAAGTTCTAAATTAAATGCATTCAAATAGCTAAAGAAATTCTTAATGAAAAGCCAATAATTGAATATTGTCTTTCCTTTTTGAATAACTGGAACTTGATGCCTTCTTTTAAAAATATCAAATTACATTAGAGATCTAAGGAAGAAAGCACTAATTTCATAACACTGGTTAGTACAAAAATGTCAAAAAACTTGAAGATAATATAAATTGTGATCAGCTAAAGATGTGTATGTTAAGATAATGGGATTTTTCTTCTAGAAGTATGATATGATGAAAACTAAAAATTGTTATTCCTGAAAGAATATAAAAAATTAAAGATTTCGTTAATTAAGCTTTTAACAATTTTAACTTATATAATATATATCTAAATTATAAATAAGTATTTAACCAATATATTATTTTTGCTTCGACTATATAATTTGTGAACTGTGGTTATAATTATGAAAATCGTGTAAATTGCTCTTAACCATATTAAGAGAATGTCACATTATTTTATTAGTGGTCAATTCACCTATATATGCAAGTTAAAAATAACCTATTTTGCAATAAAAGAAGCAGAGATCTCATTTAAATTGTATATTAATACACAAAAAAGGTATCCAGTAGATAATTCTCTCATAAGGTTAAGATAGTATATCCTGAATATCATTATTATACTCAAATTGGAAATTATGTTTAAATTTTAGTGACTGCATTATATTTCATTATCATGCAAATAGATTTTATTTATTACACATATGTATTATTAAATCTTTATATATATCTAAAGCCATTAAAAAGTGTTTTAAAGCTAATAAATTTTATGACAAAATTCATAAATCAAACTTGTTCTTTGGCCTTTCTTGTGCGAGTTATGTGACTATATTCACAAATTGAATAATTTATAGTATATGTTGATGTTCGTCAGAAACAATATAATTTTGCCTTTTTAGTTAATATTTCATTACAGATTTTTCATATACAATACAAAGTTTTTTATACAAAAAACAAAGGACAATTAGAGATTTACAAATATAAAAATGTAATTACTAAGTAAATAACAATACTTTACCTCAATACGCATTAAAGATATAATAAGTTTTTCGATAATATGCAAATTATCAATTGACAAAGGTAGCTTAACCTTTTGAAGCAAACCTAGATGCTAAATACCTCTTGTTTTCTAATCTGATCTATATATATTATATTTATAATCTGAAATTAATTAGGTTGGATTATATATTAAGAACATACTGAAAAAAATTAACTTACTGAATATGTGTACCCCTAAAGTAAAAAGTTTGCAGAATTTTTCTAGTTTTATGCTGTTATTTTCTATTCTTTCATTTATTAACACATTCTATAATATAACTAATAGATCTATCTTATCCATCCATTTTTTGCTTTTCAGTGATACAAGAAGATCACTGGATCTTAATCCAATCAATATTTCAAATTGATTTTTGCTAACTCTAAAGTCTACTTTGTGACCAATTAAGCTTCTATCAGTAGGTTTAGATTTTATGTTGGTGATTACTAATGAAGCAAGTCCTTAGATCTTACCTCTGCATATTACAATTAATAGTAAATGAACAAAACTGGAAAATATATAAACAATAAATATCAAAAACCTACTCTTCATAATGATAGGTTCAATCAAAGGTTAATATTCCTTTTGTAATTGTATTAGTGAAATTACTTCTAAAGATAACTTCAGACATTGGCAATTGTAAGCGTTAAAGATTGTATGTACTATTTAATTTAAAATTGTTAAATATTATGACTATCAGATCCTAATACTATAAATAGGTAAAAAATAACACTTACTATGTCTGAATAAGTTTTCTAATTGTATTTACTTTTATATTATCCTATAAATGACAATAATTAGACTTGCGCTTCCATAAGAAACTAATACAAGTGATATAAAGTAATATACGTACTTCAATCACACAGCTTTCAATATCAGTAATTAAATCAGAAGGTTTCTTTATCAATACCTAACGTAGAGAACAGAGAATGGTTTAATTGGTCGATATATTAAATGAAAGGTAAATACTACAAATTTGCTAACCTTAGAAATTTTGTCCATCAGCTCATAGAAGGGCCTTTTTTGTTCATTTTTCATATCACTTAATTTTATATTATTATTAAAATCCTTGATCATCTCATTCTATTCGTTATTTATAAACAAATTGTTTACTTCTGTATCCTCACTAAAAAGATTCAATATTCTGAAATAAGCCAGACTGTAAATAATAATATCAAAGTTAAGAAGTCAACACTAGAAAATATGTTTATATTTACAAATCAAGTGTAACTTACTAAAAATATGCCTTTGTGCAAAGAATATTTTCATGGTATTTGGATAATTCTTCACCAATATCCTTATCACTTGACAATATCCAACTTCCAATGGTATCAGCTGAAGCCTAAGTTAGAAATGATGATATTAGGTAAGTATTAAATAACATAAGTAACACAGATGTTATTATACTAACCATATCAGATAGAATTTTTCTTTAAAGCACTCTTCATAATCGGATACATTTTTTCATAATCTTGATATTCTTCATGATCGCTGGAATCATTATCTGACTGTAAAATTGGGTTTCTGCATTTCGATTCTATATCATATACATTTTCAGACTATTACTTTTTTTTAAATAAATAGTAAAGTTATAATGCATTTATTTGAAATGTATCACTAAACTATTACTAACCTCATTATATTAAATAACATTTTCTTCTTCATTCCCTTTGACTATTATATTTAAAACTGATGTTTTGCCTAAAAATTTATGATAGCTTAAAATATCCTTTTCACTTCCAGTTTTTTTTAGCCTGATTTTCATTACCATCCTAAGAATTAAAATTGCAGTTCATTAGGAACAAAATTATAAAATATAGATATATCAAAAAAGATGCATTTATAAGAAGAATACGCGTACTTACTACTACAATTTGATCATCTATTTTATGTTTCTGTTTGGAACCTTTACCTGGGATTTCTATTTCTAAAGTATGTAATTTCTGTATATATGTTAAAATTAAATTTATAGATAATATTAAATGCAATACATAATGAATTCAGTTAATTACTGAAGATGATGCAGTATGTATTTTGTAGTCTTTAACAGTAAGCTAAACTTCTGTATTGAATAGTGATTTTTTTACAAATAATAACTGCCTTTTATATTTTTCAATTACCTATAAAATCAACAGTTTTATGTTAGATAATGAAAAGGAGTAATTACTAATAAAAGTAATTTACCTTTGTGTCCATTCTTTTAAAAATTACTATAACTTCTTCAGATTCAAACATCAGATTCATTTCATTCAAAAGTCTTTTAGCTTTTTTTTATGCAGATTTCGTTACTACTTTATGATTTATTAATAAATGGATATGACTCTTGAATTCAGTTTGAACCAATTTTTTATTAGAAGTTCTAAAATCTAAGGATTTATTTTTCAAATATTCTAGGCATTTAGTGAGAAACCAGTTTTTAAATGGAGTTTGTTCAAAAAAAAAGTGAGATTCCTTCTGATAAATCTATTCCTGAAAAATAATAATCAAATATATTAGTAACAATATTCAATAATATAAATTGGGATAAGTGTATATTTTGCATTAATAAAATAGGTTTCTGAGAAAAGATCAGCACACTAAGGCATTAGGTAGGGATGACCTCCTAATGGGTGTATATGACAATCTCCCTAAGTATCAACTATATGAGACTGTATTAGTGGATAATTCACACGATTATGACCATTTATGTCATAGTCAACCTATTAAATCTAATATACTGGAAAGAGATTAGCATACTAGGATACTAGGTAGGGATGACTTCCTAATGGGCGTATATGACAATTTCTCTCAAGCATTGATCATATAGGACTGTACTAGTGAATAACTCATATGATTATAGCCATATGTGTCATAAGATATCGTGTATACAAAAATTAATTCCATAAAAGCATAAAATTACTTAACTGGTGGTTACTTAATAACTCGATTAATAATACGCGTAATGAAAATACTATACGAGAAGAGAAAGTCATATACATTCAATTATGAGGTATTAAATCTTATGCTATATTATTTTTTTGGAAACACGTGAATTTATATATGCAATCTTAAATTCAGGTAAATTATAACTTTATTTATAACTTTATTTATATATATCATATATTATACATTATTACAAATATTATTTTGTCGACAAAGAATAGAAGCAAATCCTCATTGAATAGATAGAAGTATAGGGGCAAAGATGAAAAGGGAGAAATGAAGCATTTTGATCAATGTCTGCTAAGGATCCTAGACCCTTTACAATGTAAAAAATGGCAGTTCATCATCTAAAATTATATTTCTACTATCGCTACTTAAAAAGTTATTATTTTTGAAGCTACTAATGCTAATAATAATAGAACTATCTTTTTTCTGGTTTTTTTTCAACTCAGGTTTCGATTAGATACGTTATGGTGATTTTTGGTGACGATAGAAAGTAACCAGTGTGGCCCTTTTTCCTTCCAAGTTCAGAAAAAGATAAATAGGTAGCATTGTATAGTAAATCAGAGAAATTAATATATTTATTATCTGGCTTTGAGCAGTTATTATGAAAAAGCAGGATAAAATATTATACATTTTTGTGAGGAATCGATTCTCTCTTTTTCTTCTTTCATTAAACAGGGTAGTAAATTTAACCCACAGATTTCAGGATATTCAGATGTATGACTTTGTACAGATACCTGCCCTAGATATAGAATATGTGTTAATAAATATCTGAAATACTTGTTAAGTTTATAACCATGTAAAAACAAAAAATTTCTGATGAACTTTCTGCATGTGTCACTAGAATCGTCAATGTTCTTGATACAAAAAATAATACATTGAAAATCGAAAAGACCTTTATTGAAATGAACAAAAAGTTTAGCGCACATATTTTTGAAGTTAACGTTAATTTCACTGCGGAGATCAACAAAATTAAGTATGAAATTAACGGTAAACTTACTGCAGAAATTGAAAAAAAATAATTCACGTGATGTTGGTTACTCTGTGAAGGCGCAGAAAATAAGATCAATAATCAGTAACATAACTACAAGACTTAATGAAATCGAACGAGAATATCAAACCAATTTTCATCAGAGTTTACCACAATAAATGCTACTATCCAAGTTCTTGTAAGACACAATGTAGATAGCATGCTCAAAGAATCCAGTCAGTACTCTGATGAAACTTCAAGCTAATCAGAGTCTGCGCATATGATGCATCGTGTATCCATATCACGTGATGCCAAGAATGCGAATAAAAACTAACCTGCAGAATTTTTTAAACTGATCGTAATATACTTATAACACACGAATATTTTAAACGTAATCCTGATAAGTGAGGTATCATAGATTTTCTAATGGAATGTACTGAGGAACTATTCGAATGTAAAATAGATCAATACGTTAAAGAACTCGACGCTATTGTTAAATGTGGGCAAAGAAACACGTCTAAAAAAGCACAAAAACTTCTTGAAGAGTACAGAGAGGCAAGCAAAAAATTTTTTCTTTAGGGTGTAGGTAGGAATGGTAGCATGACGAAGCTTGCTAGGAAATTCGTTCATTCAAGGCTGCTAGCTGAGCTACAAACTAGTTCTGGGGCACAAATAACCTGCTAGGTTGTTTTTGTTAGTTCAGCTGATAGCTGATCTAGAACTGGACCTATTTGGATACAGATGACTTGCTGGGTTTTTCTGATATTCTGTAGGATCGGAAATCAGATAGAAAAAAGGGTTGCTAGTCAAGGATATCACTAACTCTCTAATTTTTAATGATAAAAAGGAACCACGACTCGATTACTACAAAGCAAGAAAATGGAATCAAAATCGTTCGCTCCAACTCTACATTCACAAACCAACAGTTACTGAGTTCAGCAGGAGTATAAATGGAAATATAACTACCAGAACTGTTAACAGTGGGATTATTACTAATGGATTACTTAAAGAACCTATATCAAAAAAGAGCAATGTGGAAAAGGTATACAGTTATATTTTTTAGCTAGAAGTCGAGAATCAGCAAGAATTAATTATTTTGTATTATAACACTTTGGGACAAACAGACCGAATGAGATTTCCTGAAAAACGGACAAAAATAAATCAACTACCTACTCCACCATCACATCAAATTAAATCATCAGGCTCTCCGAGAACTTTTCCTCTAGAAACTAATGAAGAGATGTGTTCAATGTATATTTTACAACAAACCATCACGCAGTGAATTAACTTTTTCTCTCAACATCTAGATTTCAGATCAAGATCACGATGACGAGAATGGTAATGAAAGTATAGGAAGTAATTCACCACTTTACAACGAGTTTGTAAAAGAGATGCATTTAACTGATAAAGCAGAAGACTTTGAGTCTGATCCAGAATTTGTTAATGATGATGATCCCGACTATGTTTATAGTTCAAAATCTTCGTCCTATAACAATTCTAATAATGACTAGGGTTGTTAAAGTTAGTCTTGATCTGGTCCTAGTTCTGAGACCTATAAGTTTTATTATACAGACCTACAGATCGGATCCACACATAACAAGTCCTAGGACTTAGATCTGACTAGATTCAGTCCTGAATTTTATCTCAAGACTTAGTCCTGACTATGGTGCAAACAGCTTAGTCGCATCAAAGGATTTTTAAGAATTTTAAAATGTAAAGGAATTTTTTTTAACATATAACTATTAAAAAAAAATATGTTATTAAATAATCTTTGGTATGTTCTTTAATATTACGTAACTTTTTTTTTGATTTTATTATAAAAGTTTTTTGTAGTTAGGATTTTTTTAACGTTAACTTTAATAGTAATAGCAGGATTTTCAACGCCTTTGATATCACGTGCTCGACATATAATTGGTGCATATAAATAACATGTTAGAATATGATTGGTTAATCGTTATTCAATAACTTTACATGTCTCCAAATTCTTCTAAAACATTTGCAGAAACACAACGATGAGATTTATACTGCTTAACCGCAAAAACAGCCGCCTTACCTGAAAGTCCAAGCTCATAAGCGTTTATATAACGTGCAGAACGATGTGCAAACTGATGAATTTTTGTTAGATTAACGGAATCTAATGCACGCGATACAATCTTCTTAAGGTCCTTGAATGTGTAGTTGCAATGAACACGTGAATACCGCTTTGTTTCTGCCCAGAAAGACTCAATGTAATTAAGTTCGCAATGGAACTTTGAGTAGAATATATACATATACCCTGCTGCCTCAATAACCTAAAAGATTAGTATTTTTTTAAAAATAATGTTAAATTGAATGCATAAATTGAATAATTTATTAACCATAATTTACCTCTTATATGTGTATATTTTGTGATGTAAAGTCAGGTTGTGCAGAAAAAATACGTGTTGCACAATAGTCTAGCTTTATTGGATCAGGGTTGTGTTGCGTACATGCATTGCATTTTCTTTTCAAACCCGGTATCCACAAACCACGCTCTTTAAGAACTCGTCGAATACCTTTGGGCTTTACCACACCATCAACATCCGCAAATGTCATTATATAAGGCGAGCCATCAGGCATTTTACCATTACGGAGGAGTGGTTGTTTACCACCATCTTTTAAGTTCATCCTTGAAACTACCAATGCATCATCAGCAAATGCATTGTGGTTGCAACTGTTATCAAACATAAACAGTGCAACTTTTCCCGGGTGAGTTCGTTCAAATATTAGAATGGCTCACTCTTTTACCTGATCAATAACATCTTTGTTTGTCCACCAGCTATCCCGATTCGTACCAAGATACATTGTGATGCAGGCTTCAGTATGCACAAGCCGCTCACCATCAGGAAGCAAATTGTTAGCAGAACAATCTTCTTCTGAAAGTCGAAGTTGTCCAATAGACTCACAAAGAAAGTCACTTACGTGTATACTAAGACCTTGTAACTTGCAATGAAGTCTATTCTCATCTGCTGGACTCCAAGCTTTGACAATATCATTGTTGGCATAAAAGATTAATTCATCATGGGTAACTGGAATCATCTCAGGAACATTATGTGGAAGCGCAGGTGCGATTATTTGGTCCAAATTATTGCCTTCATAAATAGCAATTCGTTTTCGTAATTCTGCCTATTGTTGCAAAAATCGATTTCTATCTGCAACTACATCTTCACGTTCATGACCATCAAAGTAAATATTCTTTGAATGGTCTTTATATTGCCAACCAAGTATATGTAGCCATCGCGTGCAGTTGAATGTGAGATACTTATCTTTTCTTCTATTCCAAGAGTAGGGATAACCTCATCCTCAATGAATTTTACGAAATCAGCAACATTCAACTTAAATTTATACGCACGTAAATATTCAGTAACTCGCAATTTAACATCTTCATGCAAAAGAAGAGATCTGATTTTTGCATGACGTCTACGTTTAGACGTAACAATCATGCCATTATTAAGCCATTGATTCGTCCAGAAGCGAATAAGTCGCGCTTGCCATAGGACCTTTGTTCAAGCTCTGAGCAAGGAGATTACTTGCATCCATCTTGCTATATTTTTGGTCTTGAACTAAATGGAGAAATTGACTTACCATTCGAAGCCACAAATCGTCATTCTTCTTTTTTAATAATAAATCTAGAGACTCTAATGTGAATTCGTTATCATCATCATCACTATTGACACATGGATCATCAAATGTTGGATCATCAAATATGGGATCATCAAATGCGGTATCTGTATTGTTAGGCTCAGCAGCTTTATTTATTTGAAGCATTTCAGTAATTTTCTTAGAACCTAAAGCTGCTTTTCGCCAATATGCTCTCTTGTTACGCAATGTTGACTTTGCAGCACCATTATATACTGATCTGCGTGAATTTACAGCCCACATATGCGATTTTGCATTTTCTATCAAATGTTCTAATGTGTTTGTTTCTATGCTTATATTCCATTTGTAATTTTATCGCTATCGAAACGTGTTTCCTCACCTTCTACCCAAAAAGTGCCAAGCCATGATTCATCAAACTCATCCAGTTCAGCATCTGATGGCTCAAATACTACTTCTTCAGAACCTTTTGCTTGCTTCCAATGCTTATTGATAGCTTTTCAAGACTGTCTGGTTCGTTTATTTGATTTCAGCATTCTAATTTTATTAATTGAGATATAAGAAAAGAAATAAAATTATCGCAAATTATGGTAAAATAACGCATTTAACTACGAACACATGACTATAGTTTGTTCATGTGACTATAGTTTGATCACGTGACTATAATTTTGACCAATAAAATTGCTAATTTAATATGAAAATGATTGGCAAAATTTTCAGCGGTGGCTTAGCCATTTGATGCGACTAAGCCATTTGCACCATAGTATTTTATGATCATCATATTACGTCTGATCCAAATCATTATAATTTTAATACATTACACAATTCAAAATTTTATATTTATTACTGATCCAAATTATTACAATTTTATTACATAATACGAACGGACAAAATACAAATTGTAAATCGCATATTTCTTCACCTTTTCATATTCCCTACAGAGATTTTTTCAACAAAAAGATAAGGATTTTTTTTTCTTTTTTTTTTTCTTAGCTACTAACTATTATTTCCCTCCAATTTGTTTACCAATTTTATTATTGTTTTATTATCATATCGATCTTAACGATCATAAATCACAAATCACAAATATTTTTTTCCATTTCATATTTCCCTACTGAAATTTTTTTTGCATCAAAAAAAGTAAGATTTTTTTCCTTTTATTCCTTTTTTTTTTTAAAAAAAAAAATATTGGCTACTAACCATCATTTTTCTCCAATTTGTTCACTGATTTTATTATCGATCCAACTTTTGGCACATAATGATACTCTTGCGATTTCTGGATGCAATTTATTCCAAGCTTTGGTAATAGTGTTACTTGCTATAGAAAAGGCTTGTTCACAGGCCACACTAGTTGCCTGTATAGCCAGGTAATCTCTTGCCATTAGTGAAAGTATAGGAAATT